GCTGATTTTTAATTTTTTTTATTTAACATGATTCAAACTGTAACATTGTTTTATGACCATCATACACATTTATAGATCGCTTTCCAAATGTTCTATGATCAATGAGCCAACAATAGAAACACGTGTGAAATGTTGACCTGAAACCGCTGTGAAAACTTTGGTGCCGACTTTTCTCAAAGTGGAAAGTGATACGCAGGATGTAAATGCATTCATCAACCAAACGCATTACAATTCAATCATAGGTCTAAAAACAATGTTATGTTTTCCCAGAGGACTGACGTTTTTTAAAAAAAAAAAATACAAAAGAACTTAATGTAACAAAAAGTTTGTTCATTTAACAAAATGAGCGTAAATGTGTTGCTTTTTCTATCAATATACAAGAAAAGTAAAATGGATAAAATGGAATATTGGGGAAGGGGGAAACTAAGATAACTGTTTATTTTTAGCAAATCTATTCCCGACTGACCAACGTTACAATTGTAAAAGCACATTGTCCCTTTAATTATTCCATATTTCATCAAAAGGCTTATTTTATCAGAAAATGGCTGAGAGAGAAAAGCAGGAAACATATGTGTAAAGGTCAGAAAACTTCATACTTGGTTCCTGCTCAACCGCTATGCTCTTCTCAACAACTACAGTATATAGTGATACGCATGACCAACATTACTGCTGTGATTTTCATGCACATCCCCACAAACAGTTCTGTGGCTTCACAGTTTGTCAGCGTAGTCGTCTCCAAAGTCAACCATCAGCCTCAGAGCACTCAGGATCAGAGCGTTGACGTCTGGATGCAGCTGAATTTCATCACTGTAGTTCTTCACTGGGAGGATGCAGTTCATTGGGATCCCCAGACTGGAGCTGAAGTCACCCATCTACATAAAACACAATAATTGTTTTACTTTTTGTATATTTTTAGGGTTTTCTTTGTCCTGTTTAGAATAAATCTTTCCTTGACTCACCTTTCTCTTTAAATGTTTGCTCTTGTAGACGTTTTTCAGATCTCTTTCTGTTTCACCACAGGCTTTATCAACGTGGCTGAGAATCGCCAGCTGAGGGATTCCTGTAGATACAGAGATACAGACTCTAAGCATGGAGTTACTCAAGAAACTCCAAATGTATTTAAACAATATATTTAAATAACTATCACAGGAGTGTGATGAAACATTTATCCACCCATCCATTTTCTAACACCCTTGTCCATAGCGGGGTCAGGAGGGGTGCTGGTGCCCATCTACAGGGAACGTTTTGGGTGCAGAATGTTTATATGTTGTTTATGATGACATCAAAAAATATTTTCTGTACTGCAGAATAATAAATGCATATTGAATGTTTCTTACCCAGCTCACTGGCTGCTTCTCTGATTTCCCTCATCTTCTGTAAAACAGACTGATTCATTTGTGGCGCATTAGCATCATAGATGCAGACCAGAACATGAACTCTGTCACTGATGGA